CTGTGCCGTCCCACCTCTACAAAGTGATCCTTGCCAGACGGAGCAGAACAACCTCAGAGCCCCTGGTGCTGGGGGCTTTTGTGGTGCCCAATGATCCCATAGGCTTCAGTCACCAGCTGGCTGAGTTTCAAGTAAATATTGAAGACCTGGAAAAAATGTCGGGATTGGTTTTCTTCCCCCAGGTGGACAAAATCAAGGATGTAAAAAATATCTGTGATGTTGATACCTGTAAACTGATGGGTTTCAAGGAATTCACATTGTATATCACTGCTCGGAAAGTGCAAAGCGCTCGCACGTTGCGCCGGTTGGAGAAGGTCATGGCAGAATTGAGGGAAGCAGGAATTGAACCTGACGAATATCTCCTAAAGCTTCACAAGAAGAAGGAGGAGGAACTGATGCAGGAAAAACAAACGGAAGCCAGAGAGGGGAAAGCTGGCTGAGTGCTCGTCCAAAACTTGTTTGTGTTTTGTACGTCTAGAGGAAGGCTGTAGGCAAACAGAAAATAGAGCTTTCTGAGCTGCATATTTGGAAATGTGAAAAAATAAAGAAGCATTTGGAAGTTGGGGAGGTTGGAATAACGTTCGTTCTCCTGTAATATGATGCACACGTGGTTTGCTGCAGTATTTGGATGTGGGAAATGAAAATGGCCCCTTTCTGGCATGAATAGATTACAGGACCTCCACAAAAGGCTTCGTGCTATTTTGCAAAGCAGACGTCAGACGTGGGGTTTGTGTGGAATCCCTTCTAGGAATATTGTAAAAATAGACAGTGAACACCTTAGGAGTGTAACTGGAACGTGTCTGAATGTAACAGCCTGCAATTGTCTTCCAGTAAGTTCATTTAGACATATTTTATTTAGCACTTTTTTATATAAAATAAACCTGCATTAAATAATCCCTTGCAATCTTAGTAACTTCGTGGTGTTCAACAAACGATTCGTATTCTCTTACATCTACAGACTTGGTGTGCTTTGGATACTTCAGCATGTCAGTAGCTGATGGCTGTTGTCAAAGGCAGCAGGCTTTTTCCATTAATACATATGCTGGAAATTGGAAAAAATAATAAAAAGAGTTAACAGAAGTTGCTACCAGTGTAGATTAGATCTGGAGAAATTAATGTAAGCTTAATATTTCACTTTCACCACTGAATTTGAATAACATGCAACAGCGTGCATTTGTTTGGCTTGAGAGGAGGACACTTCCTTTTTATTTCCACTTTTTGCTTTATTTTTCTTTGTGGTCACTCAATTTTCATACCCAGCTCTACAGTCTTGGAGCTATAAACCCTGTGATGAAAGTTCTACCTGCATTCCGAAGATTTGTCACAAATATATGAGTATTTTTCATTAATTTTGTGCTTGCTTTGTTTATGTATCTTAAATTTCATACCTAAACAAATTAATGGCTTGCATCCTGTGACATTTTGCATCTGGAAAGAATAAAAACTGTCTAAACTTGGAAAGTTTTTACAATGGTAGGAATCTATATAAATGGTAGGGAGTAACAATACATTTAAGGTTGTGAATGTAGGAGTGTTTTCTGTGAAGGGTCCCATTTCTGATGTGGGGCTGAAGCAGGAGCACTGTTTGGATGTTGTCATTCACAGACTATGCTCAGCTTCCTAAAATCTGTAGTTTCACTGCAGTTTGCTTGCACTCTCCAAAGAGGAACACTTTATTTATAAAGCAGTTATGGTTCCCATGGCACCCTTGTGTTTGCCAAGAGCCCATTTACAAAATCCAGACATTTCGAAAACAGAGAAATGTGGGTAGCTAAGGACATCATAAAAGCTTACTGCCCACATAAATTGCAGACAAATTGGGTGAAATCCTGACAAAACGTTTGCTCATTTCAATTTTTAGCCCAAGATTTGCGTTGTTAATCTTACTAAATGTAGCAACACAATAAATCAGAGTGCGACAAGCAGCCTCTTGCTTATCAGCGTTTAGGAGATACCGGGGTGTGCGTTACCCACAATAACAAACTGCCACCTCCTTTCTGTGCCTCCTGCTGAGTGCTGTTACTCCATCCCAGGCAGCCCTTAGGGCTGCTCTTGGGCTCTGTGATGGGGTTACCTCCATGGGAAGGGTACTTGGACCCTGCGCTTTGCACTGTTTTTCTCTGTTTTCTGAGTTCTTTGCATGTTCTGTCCTTTTGTGTGGCACCTTCCTGCTCCTCTTCACCGCAGATCGTGGCAGCTTGCAGAGATGGGGCAGGGCTCTCCCGGGGTCTCCTGGTGGAGCTGGAGCGATCCATGTGGTGGAGCTGGAGCGATCCATGTGCTGCAGCTCCACGCGGGGCCGTTCACACAGCACCGGCTGTGGGCGAAGGTCCCCGGCGTCTCAAGGTGTCGCAGCTCCAGCCGCATGGAGGGGCAGAGCGTGGCTCCCTCAGGAGGCCTCTGCTCCCGAGCCCGCTGCCTTCTCGGGCCTTACGTGCCCCCTGGAATTCCAGCAAGGCCCAGTTCCTGTGATTTTCATGCCTCGTGGTTTCACACACACACACACACAAAATGGTTGAGGTGGGAAGGGACCTCTAGAGATCATGTAGTCCAACCCCCCTGCTCCAGCAGGGACACCTAGAGCACATGGCACAGGGTGACATCCGTTTACCACATGGGCTCGGCCCCCTGTGTGGTGTTCAGCTCCATGTGGGCATGGTCGACATTTCTCAGCTGCCCTTGGAGGGTGGCAGCAGGTGGCAGCCCCCGTGTCGGTGACACCATCGTTCTATGCGCCGAGGAGGATGATCACCTGCTCTGGTTGCCTCAGCTGAGGTAACCGTGTAGTCTCACATGCAGAAAAGAAAAACCAGATCCGTTTTATTGAGAAATACACTGCAAGTAAAGGTGTCAGAGGCAGAGGGTCTAAACACTAATTGGAGCCACCTCCATAAATATTCGCTTCCAGCTCTTTCCCGGGAAGCGTGCTGGGTGCGTGTCCCTCCTTTCCACGCTCGATGACTTGAACGTGCGCCTCAGCAGCTGCACTGCAAACAGCAGGGGCAGCTAAATGTCCCGAATCCCCGAAAGAGAGAAGACTCTTCTGCTTTAAAATGTTTGTTTTTAAAGCTGGGTAAGTGGATTGTGAGGGAAGAGGAGAACTCGACTGGCCACAACCCGATAGAGTAATTTTCTGATATTCCGTCCACTGTCTGCTCTTGATTGTTGCTGCGAGTCTTGATTCAGGGCGAAATTGGTGGTAAATAGGAGGCTGTCAGGGAAATAACGCGGGCGTGAATCAAGGGCAAGAGCTGTTACTGTCCTCGAGGGCTCCGGGCTTCGCCTCCCAGCCCGGTTCGGTACCGGTTCTCACTGAAACGCCTCAGGGCTCGGTTGCACTTTTGTGATTTCGCCTTTTGGGGGCAGCCTGTTCCCACCGTGTCAGCCTCACAGCGTCCAAAAACGAAGGGGGATGCCCCCGTTAGCTGTCTTTCTGGTCGTGATATGAAGATAACCAGGCTAAGTAAATTGTTGTCTTGAGCATTGCATTGACAGCAGTGCGGTGTGAGGCTGATGATTTATCCTAGATAAGATTCTTGGTAGTAATGTTTGAAACTACCCTTGCCCAGCCAAGTTGTGTATCTGCTTCCAAGACAATTTTGAGTCCAGCTTGTCCATGAATGTCATTCCAGGTGAGGATTTAACCCTGTGCTGATGCTTGGCAATGCTGTTGCTTTGTACCTGAAGGGGTAGCTTATGGGGCCATATTTTAAATTCTCCTTTTTATGTTTTGCATAGTCGTCTGGTTTTGGAGCACTGCTTTGCAACTTGGAGTTTGGGAGGCCTAAATCAGGTAGGGAGCTCTAAAACTTTGTTTGAGGTAGGGCCAAGCATGCAACAAAAAACAGAGAGATGCTTGATTTGAGAACTGCTCTGGGGCTTTGCAAAGGGCTAGGTGGCTTTAGGACCTAGTTCTGTGCATGTCTAGTGGCAGAAGCTTAGGCCTCTTGAATTGTTCATCCAAAATATAACCTTTAAAGGTAAGGGGGGAGGCAAACGAGGGTTTTAAGACTTGGCAGCATGTTATAGTGAGGTGGGACCTCTGGCACTCCAATGCCCAGGTTCCTTTATGTATTTAACCCGTGCAAAACTGCGTGGAAAAACAACAACAACAAAATCTTACTAGTCCTGTTCTCCTGTTCCAGGTGTTTGTTGCCGGGCAAGAAGCCTGTGCAGGAATTGCGTAGAAACCCAAAGTGCTCTGGCCAGTAACCCGGCTCAGTGGGGAAACGAGGAGCAATTTTGCTGTTATTTTTGAATCGTCTTCTCCTGCGGTCGCACAGGAAAAGCTTTTTTCCCACCGCACTGCAGGGCAGATCAGCGAGCGGCGGGTTTGTCGGAAATGGTCCTTTTCGTTTTTCTTTTTTCTTTTCTTGCTTCAGGTCCATCTAATCAGTTCCACCTACACAACCGCAGCGTAGCCAGTTCTCACATGCTTCCTAATAGCCATCTGCCTGTGCAGCTAATGGCTTCTCTGCTTTTACCATAGCTCGGAAGGCAAAGCCTGAGCAACAGCTTTGAGTATTTCCTTAAAATATCTCCAGTGTCTGTGTGGATGCTCTGGGATGGGTGCTTGGTGCTGGCTGCAAGCAAGCCCCACCGTCCCTGGCTGTAAAATACTACAGAGCAATCGGCCCGGTCCGTTAAACCCACCGAACAAGCCACTCTGCCACCCGCTGGGTGCAAAATTAACGGCCGCGGCCACAAAATGTCCCCAAATGCTGCCCTCAAAGGGCTGGACAAGGCACTTGTGATGCTGGTGTGAGAGGGACTGGGGCTGGTGGCCTGGCTGCCCCTCAATGTGCTCAGTGGGTTGGGAGAGAAGCAGGAAAAATGGGCCTGGAACAAAGTACTTCCAACACGGGTTAAGAAGCAAGAGGAGAGATTTTTGGCTGGGGACAGATAAATTTGGGTTGTGGGAAGAATGAGCATCTTCCAAGGTGAGAAATGGAGATCTTTCAAAGGAGCAATTCCTTGGCCCGGTCCTGAGCAAGTCTGAGTCCAACGTGGCTGGAGCCATAATCCTCCCTAGGCAAGACGAAACCCGTGCCGAATGAGGCAGCGTAGCTCCTAAAGCAGGCTGAAGCTCAAACTGGATCCCAAAACGTGTTGCAAAATGCCAGGTAAGCTAAAAGTAAAGGCAACGAGGACAAGGTGAAAAGCTGACCTGGTTTTTGGCGGTTCCCGAGCACGGGGTGCCGAACTGCAGCCCTCAGCGTTTCCTGCGGGCTAAAACCCGGGCGCTGCCGCGGTGGCTTGAGCGCTGTCCACAGCGGATCGGCCCCGTGACAGACTCGGGAGCTGCGTGGATGGGGATACAGCCATGCACATGGCCACAGACTGAAGCACCAAACGTTCCACATGAACTTGAGGAAAAATTTCTTGACAGTGAGGGTGACAGAGCACTGGAACAGGCTGCCCAGAGAGGTTGTAGAGTCTCCTTCTCTGGAGATCTTCAAAA